TATTTCTCTATTGTGATGAAATATTATCATCTAGACTTTTGATAAAGATTAGGTGCATCATATTCTTTTACACAACTTGTCCGTACTCTCTAAAAATAATTAATTAATTATTAGATGAATTGTCATTTATTCTTCTAAATTCTAAAGTCGTCTGATATGCATTCATAATATGTTACCACAACTTTCTAAAATATGCTAGATTACTGCACGAATATAGTTGTAAATAAACTTCGGAGAGCTTAAAATAGTTTGAAGATCCAGGACTACCTCACTTAAGTATTCTGAAATGTTATTATCTGATTCTAGTGACCTTTCATTTGCAGCTTATTTAAACTTCTTGAAACTTTCTTCCATTAATAGTAAGTAAGTATTTAAATGAAGAGGGATCTTGTTTAACCAAATAGAGATAAAAAAGAAATTATCTGTATCTTCAGCCAAGGGTACGTGAGTCAAATAATGTCTAGTTTTTCTTTTTCAGTATTATATTAAGTATAGATATATTGTTAGAATTACATATTTGTTATTTAATAAGTAATATAATAAACTTAACTGTTGAATATAAATATTTTACCCAATTGCTTATTCAATCTCAAGATTTTTAAGTTTTTCTGACTATATTAAAATAATCTTTCAAGATCTTATAATGAAAAACTACTATATATAGAATATTTCACTTTATCTGAATGGTCTTGGTTAATCTAGAAATGATTTCTCATTTTGTAGTTTCCATCTTTTCCTTTTCTTTCCTTAAAATTATTTATTTATTGGTGTTTTAAATAACTTAAAAAATTATATGAGTAATTGATTTTCCCCCTTTTTCTTTGTAATGTGTTTACTAACAATCTCATATTCTCTAGGTAAATTTACCGATTGTCTAAACATCTCGAGACACTATCCAAAAAATGTAAGACAACCCTAGGGGAGAGTTACCTCTAATTTCGTTTCCCCAATTAAAAGAAAAAAGAAAAAGATAGTCTTTTAAATCAAAAACAACACTGGCACGTTTCGAAGTTGTCACGTTGGTTTAGGAAAATGTTTTGTATTTTTATTTTTATTCTAAAATCACAATTGTAGTCAAAATAATAATTTCTAGTTGATTATTAGTTGAATTAAAAATCCTAAGTATTGAGTAAAATATGAAATATTACGATTTTATTCAATATGGAATTGCATCTTTAATGAAATAAAACTATTATAAAATTTTAAAAACTCTATTATTAGTCATTTGAAGCTTTAGATATTACAATTTATCCTACGTGAAGTTATATATATATATATATATATATATATATATATATAAAATTTAGCTTTCGAAGAATAAAAGCTTAGTTGTTTACAATTAATAATAAACAATTAGTTGGTTACAATTTGACTTGATAGGAATAATAATTTATTTTACTTTAGTATATTTTCTTCGATTGTTTTATTGTTTTAGCTATCATATTATTGTTTGCTTTCCAAAAATAAAAATAATAAATAAAATAAAACAAAAAATAAGCTAAAGAAAACTCTTCCTGAAGACCCAACTCACGGCTAACCTAATTTTTCAGTAAGAAGTCTATTTCAACCAGAAGTAGTATTTTGTTAGAATTTGATCAATATTATTTTAACAGAATAACCTACAAATTTACGTTAAGAATAATATAAAACGGATATTTTTATCCATCAATATTATATTCATACTTTTATATTTGTGGTCGGCAATTAAGGAACACAAAAAATAGTAGATTATATTTTTTTTTCTAGAAACCTCTTTATTCAAAGCACAATAACAAAACTAGATGAACAACCTTTAGACTGACAAAAGGAAAGACATAAAACTATGTACCGCGCAATTATCAATTTACTTTTGTAGTCTTTTCTATTAATTTTGTGATAGGGAAATTATTTCTTATAAATTATTGTACATGCATAATCAATTTGCTAATCTATATTTATACTATATTAAAAGCACGAAACCCTATCGAAATGTCATTCGTCTTTTTACCCTTTAAAAGTTAATTTCATACTAGACAAAATAGTCATTTAATTATTTTTCTAATATCTAAGACTTCAAATTCAACTAAAATTTTACTTAAGAATATCCTAATATTTAGGACTTCAAATTCAATTAAAATTTACCTTATTAAATTTTTTCTTATTTGACCAATTTTTATAAATATCCTTTTAGAGTTTAGTACGTGGCCCCTAAATTTCTTTTTAAATTCTTAGCCTATGAGGTATGTAATAGTATTTTTTTTTTTCTCCAAATTACCAATAATTGATTACCTAAAAATATGGAACATCCATTAGTAATGCATGTTCGCTTTTTTCCTGTTAACTTCTTAAGAGTTTTGATTTAATTTTAACTTTAAATTTCTAGAAGTCTGAACTAATATGGTGTTAATTTAGAAATAAATTAAGCTACGGTCATACTATGTGAAATTGTAACTACAATTAATTTTTTAAACTTAAGTTAAACTAATGTATTTAGAACTTTTGGAATAACTATAAATTTGTCATCCCCCAATTGACCTCAACATTGTGAACTCTTGAAATTTCAAAGTTGTTATTAGCAAAGTACATTCAAAATGAGTTTAGAATAGTATTAACTTTTTTTTGGCATTGGATGAACGTGCAAAGAAGGGAATTTAGACTTAAATCAATAAGAATCCAGGCAACTTTTTTACACACGAAGAGGTCCATTTGGCTTGTCTATAATTTTGATTAACTTTGAATGAATAATTATTTTTTTGTATAATGACATTATGAACGTAAAATTTACAAAGAGATGCAAGATGAGATACAACAACATAGTATATTTTTATTTTATATAATAAAATATTTATAACTATAAATTCGATAGAACTAATTACACCAAAATTCATTCAGAAAATGTTGAATTCAACCATATATTGTATCAATTTACTAATATATATTTTCATCATTAAACATATATTAAGTTTAGTTTAACCTCCATTACTATTTTTCAATAATTTGTGTATATGTTTTATATTAATTAACGCAATGCACACGTGCAACGCACGTACACTAAAACTAGTTATATTAAAAGCACGAAGGTCCTTAGCGAAATGTCGTTCGTCTTTTTTACTTTTTTAAAATAGAGTTCACACTGGACAAAATAGTCATTTAATTGTCTTCCTATATATAGTATTAATCATTCAATTTACTTTCCTAATATTTAAAAATACTCATTTAATTACTTTCCTATTTAGGACCTTGATTTAGAAAAGTAGAAAACACATTCCTAAAATCTCTACCTTAAATAAATGAGAAAAGTACGTTTTAGAGAACCAACTAAAATATCTTCAATTCCTAAAATCTTAAGTTAATTAAAAGAAAATATATATTTCAAGGAGGAATCAAATTATTTTAAATTCTAATTTTTCCTATACATAAATAGAAAAGGACAGTGCATTAAAAGGAAACTCTTAACTACTTTTGTTATGGGTAATTTTTCGGAAACTCTGTCAAACAAAAACGTAGTATCCTTTTTCCCTTTTCATTTTTTTATTTACATGTTAAATTTTGAAATGTTATATTTTTACTTTGATCTATATATATAATTATGTAATCCATAAATACAATTATTTATGAAGGGATTAGGTGGAATGAGTTCTTTTAGAGTGTTCCTACTTTCTCATGTGGTGCATAAGTTAGAGTTAAATAAAAATCTTTGAGATGAGAAGAAACATAGGACTCAAGAAAAAGGAATTAAATTGGGAATGTCTGGCTGACGGCCTACGAAGATTACTGAAATACATATCGGTTTACCTAGATTATAGGAGTGTATGGGGTACATGCAGAATAAATTTGTTCTTTTTGTATATATTTTTATTGATTAACACGATAAACACGTGCAACGCACGTACACTAAAACCTAGTTAGTTTAAATGGGAGAAAAGATTTATAATTACGTTACGTATTCTATACATCTGTTCATCTACGAGAATTAAAATTTAAAAAATAGATAGAGGTATGATAGTATCATAATACTAATTATAAAAACAGACCATTTTTATTATTGAAGGAAACGGATGGAGCATGAAATAGTTCTGCTACTTAAATAGATACGATTTAGAGCATGTTAATGGCTGATACAACCTATTATAAAAGAATGTAATTGGGCAATGTAACGAAAGATTTCTCCATAGGAATTTCATTAAGTTCTGTCACTTTTTGTTGAAAGAAACTAATTTTTTTTAATAAAATAACAAAAGCATGAAATAATTATGGGATAATTTATTCTTCGTTGAGGTAGATACATAGAATAAATTATATAGAGAGAATTCATGTGATGAATAAAATCAAATTACCTCTACATGCCAATACAAAGCATTGTTAAAGAATTGATGAGGCAACGAAAAATTTCATATAGTGGTAAGATGTCAGTTCAAATTAAAGAGTTCTTCTAGACTCGGGAATTGGTATGGTCTGAAACTTCAAAACATAGTTGGGATATATTATGGAGAAGTTTAAACTTTATTAGAATTAGAAGTTCATACGAATTTGGATTAGGGCAAATTACAATATTACAATTTTATCTAAAGTTATTCATTATTTTAAGGATATTAAGATATACGAACAACATAGTCAGATCATGCTACTTAATTTATTTTGAATTGAATCTTTTTTAACTTTAGCTCCAATCATTTAAAGGAATATTTATATCCGAGTTCCAGTTAAAAATACATATGATTAACAGGTTCACGTTGGAATTTTTAGTGTCACACACATTCTTTCTTTTTATATAGCTGAACTCTCAAGTCACAGTCATCCAATTCAAAACTGAAAGGTAAATGATCACAAAGAGTATCAAAAGAATAGCTGATTGAAAACCAGAAAGGCCTGCAACTTTCAAGTTGCCCATTCCCCTAGCAGAAGAGAATGGATTACATAAACCACAATGCCATTGGAAAGGATGATGTTGTCCATCTAATGTCCTCGCAAGTCGCTACATGTTTCAGCAACCATCCGGCAATACAATTCATTCACCAGACTTAGAGCAAAGGACCAATTTATATTAATAGCTGCTGTTGCAAACATACAGCAATTAAAAGTTGATTCAAGCAAAATGTCAACTATCCTATTAAATGTAGCGAACAATCTTAAGATTTACACTTAACAATGAATTCTAGCGAAGTAAAGCAAAAGACTGAAGAATCTGTCATGTCTACAGGTCATGCAACCATCGAGCAATAAACTGATGATATGGAGCAACAGAGAGGAAGATTTCACTGCCAAGATCCAGGAGAACCAATTCACATTTGAGTCTCATCACACTATAATTGGTGCAACACTTTATAGGGAACATGGCACTGAAGCAGGATCAAGCTCCCAGCAGCCTATTAAAACCCCTCCTTTTTCCCCAGTCAGCTGAAATGCAGGGATCTGATGAGAGAATCTCCCGAACTCATCTTTTTTTATTTCTAGAATAGCAGGATTCAATCTTTGTTTTCTTAGAGACCTGAAGACTGACTTGAAACCATTCACACGCACCATGGATGAAACTTTTATCCGGTCTTTTGAATTCTCGATGACCTCCACTATCTCATACTCAAACTTGTCTGGATCCAAACCTGATTTTTTCCAGTTCTTGTAGAGTGCCCAAATCTCTCCTTCTCTTGGATAGATTTCAAACCTGTTCCTATTATTAGAGACTGTTTTCACCACGTGTGAGAAGGTACTAGGCTCAACGACTTGACATTTTTCATTCTGGACTTTGAATGTTCCACAAACAGTCTGAGGAGCATTTTTACGACCTGCACTAGATTCAAGAAGGACTACATGCAATTTGAATGGCGAAGGAACAATCTTCTTAATCTGAGCATAAGTCTTTGGCAATGTACTATTTTGACCATAAAGAGCCCATACCTGATCTACTTGAAACTTCCCCATAGATCTGTCCATCCTAAAATCACAAAAAACTTCTTCAGAACCTTTTTCATCTGATAAAGTTATTGGATTTTTGGAGCTTCCAGAGGAGTTGCCGAGACCAAAGCTCTTTGTGGGTGAATGCAACACTTCATCAGCTTGACATGACAAATGACTTGGTATGCTGGGACTTGAGTGACAGTTCTTTTTAACACAATTATCATCAAAATCAGTGGAAGGATTGTCATTGGCAGAAAGAGAGCTCATCTTATTTTGCTTTTTCTCAGAGTTGTTCACTCCTCTAGCAGATTTTCGAATCTTAGCAGACTCACCATCAGTAGCATGGATGCCTTTCAAGTCCCCAGACTTCAGAGATATCGTTGCATTCTCGGATGTCCTGGATTTGTCTCTAGTTCCAGGGGGAACAGCAAACAAAACTTCTTCTATAGGTTGAGAATTTGAAGTCCTGCTTTCTTCCTTAACTTTCCCAGGGTACCAAATATCATCTGGATCAAGGGGTAGGGAAGCAGGATCAAGTTCAAACGATCCCGCTGGTACACCCTCTCGTTCAGTTCCAGTCATTTTGAAAGAGGGAACTCGATGAGAGAACTTGTAAAGTTCATTTGGCTTTACAAAGAATGTAGCAGACACAGTAATCCTTGTTCGCTGGAAAAGGCTAACAAAACCAGTCACTTTATCTAAGTAACCAACTTGGACACCAACATCCCCAACATAATCAGAAAGAATCTCCACAATTTCATACTTGTACTTCCTATGGTTCTTTGGATCGGAGGTCCAACAAATATCCCAATCCTTGAAAAGGGCCCACGTTTCCCCTTTCCTAGGATATACAACGTACAAACCTCTCTTGCCCATTTCGCACGGAACTTGATGAGAAAATGTAAGTCGATCAGAAGTGGAATCAGTACACCCACGTTTAAATTTCCCACAGCCAACAGGCAACTCTGCCCTGACCCAAGCTCTGCCTCCTTGATCTTCTGGATGAGCCTCGAGCCAACTGAAAATCACATTAAATTCAGGACTGGATACCTTCCTAATGTGGGCATAGAATCTTGGCATACCATCATCCGTATCATAGCAAGCCCAGATTTGGTCAATAGCAAAGCGATTTTCTGCTTTATGCTTGTCAAAATCACTGAATTCAGGATCAGGATAATCATACACCTGTGCAGGATTACTATCAGAAATGGTATCTGGTTCGGAATCAGAATCAACAAGAAGTTCAATATTTTTGGCACCACCTGATGGCGGTCCGGAAGCCTGTCCATTAACTGTCGCAATTTTAAAATTGTTGGTTTGCACATCCCTTTCAGGACAGCCCACTCCATTTTGATTTAATCTTTCCACAGAATTACTGCACGGCCTAGTTGCACATGCATGTCTTTGATTATCACCACCAACAGCTTCTTTCTGCAGAGGTTTACTATCTCCAGCTGACTGGTTAGACCGCGCCTTCTTCAGAGGGCTTGCCAAATCATTCTCATCATCACTTACACCTTCATTGTATGAAACATTCTGCCGACGCCGAGATGATCTCCTAGAGCCATAGGCATCAAGTCCAGTTCCTTGTCCAGCAGGTGGATTGTTTCCATTTTCAAACTCCACATCTTCTGTCTCGACACTGGTTGAAGTATCAGAGCTTTCACTCGATTCAACTGTCTGCTTCCGACCCCTTTTCCTGCTTTTGCGATCCACCTTTGGCATTGCAGCTCCTTCTCTCATACCACCTGTTCGCTTTTCATCCTTTCGTTTGGTTCTCATATCCTCAAACACTGGAGCAGTCTTTCCTCTGCATATCTCTGGACCCTGTTGGGGTCCAGTTCGGGTAGGTGGAAACCCAGCACTTCCTGCAGTCATTTTCGAGGTTCCTTGGTTAGGAAGTTCTTTCTGCACAAAAGACTGGTTGCGATTAGATTTAAGGGGCACATCCTGAAATGCAGGCTGACTCCATTTGGGTCCAGGAGGGACGCCTTGAGAACCTATATCAAATGCTATAAAAGGCTTCGAGCATTTCTGGCAGCGCAGAGCACTG